CGCAGCTCTGCATCGGGGTCACCAAATGTCGCTGTAGTGTCGAGACGGCCAAAGCGACACAGAAACAGTCTTCTTCCAAAAATAGGACAGGAGAGGGATAGATCCTTTATTGTAACAGATCACTGACATTTATAGCCCTTGGCATAACATACACTACAATTGGTGTCTGCAAATAAACATGCATCAGGATTGGCTGCCCTGTAGCACACTCATGATGATTCAGAATTTGTAGACTCATAGTGACTAAGCTCCAGCAAGCTCACCGTGACTCCACAGAAAGCTCAGGATATCTGCCTCTATAGTCCTGTCTTCCTTCTGACAGACCTGCTGTCAACCCTGACAACCCAATGCCTCAAAACCTGAAAGACCCTTCCCAGCTCAGAGTCATGAGTTGCATTTCAACTTCCATTCAACATAGGGTCCCAAGGGGGTTGGTTCATTACACTAGTGGTTGTGGTCCCTTCCCTGCACCCTTGGTGACTGTGGACTCATCCTGCTGCCCTGCCTGCTGAGCTAGATGCTGTCTGCCAGAAGCCTTCTCTTTTCTACCATCAGCAAAACAGGTTTAAAGCCTGTGGGCAGAGGCTGGCACAGAGTGCCCATTGTACACTCATGCATACCAGAGCAGTAGCTCCCTGGAATGCTACACCTCCCAGCTTTTACCACCTTGTGTTTGTGTTGCAACTCAGGACTGTGTGTAAATTTAGTCCCTCTCCAAGGAGATTAACAATTCAAAATGGCAGATAAATAGGATGGCCTTTTTTTTTTTGATTGGACCAGTTGGAAGAGGAAGGTAACCCTGACTCCCATAACCTCCATAGGCACAAAAGAGAGGTGAGGTGCAAGGTTGGTCAATTAGATGGAACAGCTCCTTGCAAGTGAGTGGCTTTAATGTACTAATTGCATTAGTAATTGGTGACTACCACATGGTAAACACTTGGGTTCAAAACTATGTAAGGGCATTAACTAACCCACCCTACAAGCGTGATCCTTGTTTCATAGGTGGTGAACTGGAGAGATCTGCTGACTGCAGAGTGAGTCAAGGCAGGCATACAGGAGACTTTGGATCTGTTAGTTCTTCAAGATCACCTTAAATGAGACTGGTGGCAGCAGCTCTGGGAGTCTCCTCCCTATTGCCAGAAGATGTGCAATTTAAGCATAAGCTGTCAGCTTGTGCTATTTATGGGAACTTTATTTTAATTTGTGTCTGTTAAAGTAGCAGAAAATATCTTTGTTTCTCTCTGAGATTTCTTCTGCTAATTTTGTAGACCAAACTGGTTTTTAATGATAGGGAGGGGGGAGGTGGCTATTGGGGGGATTTTAGGGAGGGTGTATGAAAGCACCTCACTACCTTTAAAAACAGCCTATGTGTATTTTTTTTAGCCAAATATTTGTTTTTTGGCTCAGCCTTTCTATGTCATTGGATGATACATCTTTTGCCTCAGTTGACCATTCACAGCTTCTCCCATTAACTTTGGCCAAGACTTTGTAAAGTACTGAATATGAATGCTTCCATCTCAAAGGCTTCCATCTGCAATGTTCTGAAGAAAGCCAACATTTGAAGGATGAGAGCACAGTCTGTGCTTCAGTCAGCCCAAGCCTTTGCCACAAAGCAGTAGTACCTAAGGGCATGAGGAACTCTGGAAAACATTGAGTTTAGCTTTCTTCCATCACCCTCAATACTTGAGACACTGACAGGCCCTCCAAGAGACCCAGGTGGATCCTCCTGCACTTCCAACATCCCAGGGAGCATCTTGGGCTGTAGTCAGTGTGTAATGAATAATTCATCCAAAGCAGGTTTCCCCCAAGAATAGCTAGCCAAGGGCATCTCTCTCTCAAACCTGGGAAGCGGGGAAATAGGGAGTTTGAAACTCTGCTGCCCGATTCATAGACCAACACTATGTTTTCTGTGCTCTGATCACTGGATTATTGTTTAACCCAAAGCAAGCATCTGCCTCTATTTTTTTTCCTTCTGAAAAACCCTGACAGCAAGCACTTTGAAGTAATGAGGAGGTTCATGGGTGTGGAAAGCTGGTTGTCCCCTCATTTATTTCCCAAGTTGAGTTGAAGGCATTGGCATTTAGACAACATTTTTTAAAAAATATATTAATTTTCATCAATTTAGCAATACACGTGGCTATTGTTCCTTGCTTTGTGATACCAGATTGTCTCAGTTTAATGAGACTGAAGTGTTTTGCTAAGGAGGATGAGTTATGAGGAAGACCAAGCTCCTCCCTCTAAGCAATTGTAAATCCAAAATTAAGAGGCTCCAATTGAGGAAGCATGGAGAAAGGAAAAAATAACAGCCCTTTATTAAAGGATATATATGTATTGGCAGAACAACAAAAGAACACAAAAACAACCAAACAATAATCCTGTACTCAAAAGTCCCCTTCAAAAAGGAAACAGTTCAGTACTTTCCGCCTTTTGGCGCAAATCTAACCACGATCAGCAGGGGGCGCTGTTGGATCTCTGGAGGTGCAGAGCCTGCAGTTGCTTGGTGGTGGTCAGCAGGGGGCGCTGTTGGGCTCTGGCGGTCACTGCATGGGGGCCCTGGTGCACGAAAGAAGCCAAAAATGGAGATCTTTTACCCCACCGAGAAGGGGAAGGGGAGAAGGGGATAAAGGGGGTTCTTCGCATGAAACTCACACTGTCTGCGGCTGGCTGTGGCTGGGATTCCCCCCCCTTCGTCGATGGGCACAAGCTGCTGTCAACACAGGAGCGGCGGAGGGAAAGGGCGACCTCCTCCCTAAAAGGTTCCTCTGCAGATGGGTCAAGCCTCTCCGATGAAATCCGAGCAGGTCTGGGCTGGGGGCAGAACAGGGTGCAGGAAAATGGAGGCAAACCGGGGCCAGGAGCAGCCAGGTGACCAGGCTGAAAACAAAGTGAACCTCTGACCCCTCCAACACGCACACTTGGTCAAGGCAAAAGTGAGGTGCCATTTCCCGAGGAGAGGGAAAAAAAAACACCTCATCACCTCCCCCCCCCAGTCTTCTGAGTCTGGAATGTGGATCTGCTAGCTAATTCCTTTGTGTGTGTCAATCACCCTAGGCAAACATCCTCCCCCTCCCTCTTTCAACATCTTTCTTTTACAGCGATGCAGGGGAAAGAAAAAAAATCCCCCCCATGGTTTTTTTAGAACAAGTAAACCTATGACACAGATCCAGCCCTCAGACATGCTGGCAAGCCTTGGTTCCCACTTTGCTTCAAGGAAAGTGTCGTGGTTTGATTCTGGCCGGATTCCAAACCCCCACAAAAATTTCTAAGAGCTGGGAGAGGCCACACAGGCAAGACAGACTCAACGTGAGGATAATACTAAAATTTTATTACTAACAGAATAGAAGCTAAAGATTAAGAAAATAAAGTTTTAAACACACTTTCTAACCACCCCTCCTTCCTTCCATATTCTCCCTCCTCCTACAAGGCAACAGGTCTTCCAAATCTGCTGCACTTGTGGATCACCCTTCTCCATCCACAGGGCACCAGGTCTTCCAAATCTGCTGCACCTGTAGACCACCCTTCCATGGTCCCTCACCACAGGCTACAGGGGGGCCAAAGCTCCGAGTCCTTCCCCTGTCCCATGGATTCCTCCCATGGGAAACAGTCCAAGGTGGTCCCTTCTAACATGGGTCCATTCCTCCCCCGGGACGCAGGTACTGGGGTGCAGGAGGCCTCTATACCCTGATGGTTCTTCATAGAATGCAGTCTTTGACAGAGAGTATTGTTCCAGTGTGGGTTCCCCACAGGGGCTACAAAGTCCTACCCAGAACAAACTGCTCCAGCGTGGCTTCTCTCTCAAGTCACAGATCTTCCGAAGGACTTCATTCCCTCTTGGGCCTCCCATGGCAGGATAGCAGTCCTCTTTCATTTTCATGCATCTACTTGTTCCATCCTGGGTGCAGCTGCACCGCAGCAGGGCCCCCCGTCCTGTCCCAACTCAGTCGGGACGGGAGGCGGGAGAGATCACCTGCTGGCGGGGCTGCTCTGCCACCCTGGCCCACCCCGCGGCCGGGGCGGGCCTGAAGGGGGGCCGCGGGGCTGCTCTGCGTGCTGCCGCATACCCCGGCCCCAGCCTGGCCACCCCTTTGCAGGGGCTGCCGCTCGGCTCGGCACGGGCAGCTCGGCCGGGACGGGAGGAGGGGGGTGCTACGGGGCTGCACGCCTCAGCCAGGGCCCCGGTCCCGGTCCCGGTCCCGGCCCCAGTTGCCCCCGCGGCCGCCACTGTGTGCTCCGAGCTATCAGCTGCCGCGGACCCAGGGTCATGGCCGCCGCCCTGGCCCGGGCTGGCTTGGCTGCGGCACCGCGCCTGCCCTCAGACCAGCTGCCGCACAGCCCCGAGCCATTGCCACCGCCCCCGCTCGCAGTGGGAGGGTAAAGCGGCGGGGAACCGCCCCAGCCCTGGCCGCGGCACCCGCCGCGCCTGCCCCTGGGCCAGGGCCGCGGGACCCGGAGGCTCCCTCCGCATCCCTCCCGGCTCCAATTCCTTCTGCGCAACACCTTAACACCCTTCTCTTCCTCTTTTCTCAAATATGTAATCACAGAAGCTCCTCTCATTGGCCTCAGCCGTGGCCAGCGGCAGGAAATCCCTCCTGCATTTAGCTACCATTGGTTCTTCATAGGACAGTGAAAGCTTTCAGTAGCTTCCAACAGAAGCCACCCTATAGCTCCTCTCTGCTCCAAAACCTGGCCACAGGTTGAACTCATGACAGAAAGCCCTTGAGATGCTGTAGGGGAAGCCCAAGCGCATCCTGTTTCAGTTATCTCCACACTCGCATTCAATACACGTGTACATGCTAATTTCCTTTTTTTTTCTTCTCTTTTCTTTTGGCAGTGGCAGATTTGGTCTCTTCTGAGCTCCTTGCAGCCTTTGGGCAATCAGGACGTTGAATTTGGCAGACGGTTACCATTCGTTCCCTTGGATCGTACCTGCCCTTGCTTTCCTCATCCCCTCCTGTGCTCCCCTTCCCTCGGATAAAACTCCAGGGCGTTGCAGTATTGCTATGGAGCCCAGGGAGACTTTGGGCAGCTCTTGGCTAAGGAGGGGTGAGGCAGACTTTCTGTCAGCCGCTGTCACCTCTGTGAAGCCTCTGTCTGCCTCTGGCTGTGCAGGGGAGATGATGCTGCCTATGGCGGGCTCAGGGAAAGAGATCCTGATGAGTGGTGAAAGGCTGGAGCCGGAGGAAGAGGATGAGCTGGGTTCTAGGAGAGATGTGGATTCCACTTCCAATGCAGACAGCGAGAAATGGGTGGTGGGAGATGGCCTGGAGGAGCAGGAATTTTCCATCAAGGAGGCTAACTTTACAGAGGGGAGTTTAAAACTAAAGATACAGACCACCAAGAGAACTAAGAAGCCCCCAAAGAACTTGGAGAACTATATTTGCCCTCCCGAGATCAAAATCACCATCAAGCAGTCTGGGGACCAGAAGCTTTCTAGAGCTGGTAAAAATAGCAAAGCAGCTAAAGAGGAGGACAGATTGCACTCCAGAAAGAAGGTAAGTCCTATTCTTTTCTGTATTTCCCCTTTCTCCTGAAAGCAGAGGGAGAGGGGAGGATTAAACCTGCTCAAACAGTTTGTGTCCAAGATATAACCTTTGCAGGGTTTGCAAAGCCCTGTTTGGCCATGGAGGAGGTAATACAGAGTGGGTGTCATCCTGCATCGCCACATATGCTGTGGGGATGATCTTGAACTATCCCTCAGATGAACCAATTCGGAAGGGATCAAAAGTTCAGCTGGGCCTCTTCTATTTTTGTTCGTACTTGAGGTTTAAGATTGATAATTACACGAGTGATAAATGAAGGAGCCCACTTCTAAATTGCTTTGTGCCTAAGTGCTAATGCTTGAGTCTTTCAGCAGTTAAAGCTTTCAACTGCATTTTTAAAATACAGGAATGTGCATTGTGAACAATTGAATCCATTCCTGAATATTGGGAAAAGGGCTTCATTATTCTTGATTACAGCATTGTGTGAGCAACACTATAGTTATGTTTCAGAAAATGCTTCCACTATAAGTCTCATTTTCTCCCAGATGCATATCATTTTCTTGAAATATCCTTCTGCAGAGAAATTTTTGGTACTTTGGGTAAAAATTAATATTTTTATTTTTTCATTTAGTCAAGGAGAGGAAGAGGGAGGGGGAAAAAAAGAAAATCCTTTCTTTGTATGAGCTGTTTCACCCTTTTATTTTGTCATTGTCTTGATTTTTCAGTAGTGTCACCTACATTTAGTCTTAACACAAATTTAGTTTGAGTGTTTTAAGCAGTGCTGGTCGGGAGAGGGACAGCTGGTGACTACTCATGTTTTTTTGGGTGTAGTGATGTTTCTGTCCTAGGTATTAGACAAAGGAGCTTTGGTCAGATTGAGGCTTTATCACAGTACAAATAGAATCACAGAATGTGCTGAGTTGGAAGGGACCCATCAGGATCATCAAGTCCAACTCCTGGCCCTACGCAGGACACCCCAAGAATCACACCATGTGCTTGAGAGCATTGTCCAAACGCTTCTTGAACTCAGGCTTGGTGCTTCCTAGGGAGCCTGTTCCAGTGCTCAACCACCCTGGGGGTGAAAAACCTTTTCCTGATATCTAACCTAAACCTCCCCTGACTCAGTTTCATGCTGTTTCCTTGAGTCCTGTCACTGGTCATGAGAGTGAAGAGATCAGTACCTGCCCCTCCACTTCCTCCTTTGGATGCTCTCTAATAGCTTAATGTCTTTTTTATATTGTGGTGCCCAAAACTGCACACAGTACTCAAGGTGAGGCAGCAACAGTGCAGAGTAGAGCAAGTTGGAAGGGACCTTAAAGATCATCTAGTTCCACCCCCCCTGCTGTGGACAGGGACACCTTTCACTAGACCAGGTTGCTCAGAGCTCCATCCAACCTGACCTTAAACGCTTCCAGGGATGGGACATCCACAGCTTCTCTGGGCAACCTGTGCCAGTTCCTCACCACCCTCACAGTCAAGAATTTCATCATAATATCTAATCTAAACCTACTCTTTCAGTTTGAAAGCATTCCCCCTTGTCCTGTCACTGCATGCTCTTGTAAGAAGTTCCCCTCTGTCTTTCTTGCAGGCTCCCTTCAGGTACTGGAAGGCTGCAATTAGGTCACCCTGAAGCCTTCTCTTTTCCAGGCTGAACAAACCCAATTGTCTCAACCTTTCCTCATAGGAGAGGTGCTCCATCCCTCTAATCTTGGTGGCCCTCCTCTGGACTTGCTCCAACAGGTCAATGTCCTTCCTGTGCTGGGGATCCCAGAGCTGGATGCAGTACTCCAGGTGGGGTCTCACCAGAGTGGTAGAGGGGCAGAATCACCTCCCTTGACCTGCTGGCCACGCTTCTTTTGATGCAGCTCAGGATACTCTGCCTCCTTAGTAGCACGTGGGCATCATGATGAGTTCAGACAGGAACCCAGATTTGATGAAAGACTCATGAGTATCTCCAAAACCTGGACGAATTCATCTGGGATGTAAGCACCTACTGATTAGAGCTTGGGGCATGACTTGACTTTCCTGCTCATGCAGCTTGGATCCCTCTTCTCCCATACACAGTTGTTGAATGCTCAAAGGGCTACTTGAAGCCTTGAGGAGGATAATTGCCAACGGCTCTCCTTGGAGACAGCCTCCTTGACAGACTGACTTAGACCAAAATTTTCATAACTCTAAATCATTTTTTGAAGCATCAACATTTCCCACTGAATCAAGGCAGAGCCCAAGGGGATTAACATTGCTCACTCTGAGAGTACTTCTCTTAGAAGCTGAATTTGAAAAGAAAACAACAAATCATGGGGATTTTTTTTCTCAGAATCCTGCTAAATGGCATAGTCTATGTGCATGAAAAAAGTATCTCCTTTTAGCACAGCAGAGGTTTGGCCCTATAACACACTGAGAAGAGATTTTCCCACCTATTGAGAGGAATGGGCTGTCTTCTTAGCACCAAGCAATGTCTCATTTCCACTTCCCTTTCCTCCCTGAATACTTGCAGAGGTGATGAAAGGCACTACAGGAAGAGACTGGAAATAAGTGGGAGAAGGGTCCCAGTCCTGGTAGTGCAATTGCTTTCATGACCAATGCATGTGTCTCATGACAGTTACAGAGATTTTTTTGGGGAAGATAGTTAGGAGGAAGCAGCAAGTTGAAACATGGAGCTGTGACTGTCTGGTCCAACTATGGGTTTCCCTGTGAGAGGAGTATGCAGGAACCTTCTGCATAGAATCATAGAATATCCTGAGTTGGAAGGGACCCGCAAAGATCATTGAGTCCAACTCCTGGCCCTGTACAGGACAGCCGCACAGGACAGCCCCACAGGACAATGGTTCTGCATGTCCTTGCAGAACCATTGAGAGCTGTGGTAGTGGTTAAAAAAAAAAAGTGATTGTCCCATTTAAATGATTCTGGCAGTTTTGATATTTCAGAGTTAGGCTGTTTGATTGTCTGTTGCTTTAATCAGTACAAACTCCAGAAAAGCAGCTACTGGAAGCAGCAGGAGGGAACAATGCATTTAAACCAGTGGGGCAGACCTTTCAGCTCCTTCCACTGTCCTCCATGGATTTTTTGCCAGGAGAGTTTGGCCCAATGTACACATTTCCCTTGCACATGGGAGCAGCATCATTATTTGAGTTTACCACCTTGCTCATGGAAACAGGGCATAAAGAGAGGCCCCACAGACCATATATAAGGATGGACAGCTGAGCATAACCTGAGCTGCAAGTGCCATTCTTGTGTTTCTGGTGGGTAGGAGCAGTTGTCTTGCACCTCATGAAGTAGCACCTGAATTTATTTTTCCCCCTGAGTAGGAGCAAACTCTCTCAGAACTTGAAAAATCTCTTAAGTTTGTTGCATAAAAATTTCAGCCACATCTCCAGTAGTCCCCAGTGCTTTGCAATACACTTCAGCATGAGCTTCAATACACACAGCACAGAGGGCAAGTAATGAAAACATGGAAGCAATTTAAGTAACAGCATGTGGGTACACAAAGGACTGGTAATGCCAACAATGTAAAAAGGGACTGTGGAACTAGGGATATAGTATTTATTCAGTGACCACTTAGGGAGAAAAGAGATATGCCAGTTCCTAAGCTTTCCACTGCTCTTCTAATTAGGCAATAGGGGTTAGTGCCTGATTTCTAAAGCTGTGGTCTGGGGTGCAGTAGTGATTAGAAGGGGACTCTGTGACAAGGCCTGGGTTTTTTGCCTTTGATTACAGCTGCTACATTATACTAAAAGACTGTGCTGGTTTAAAGGTAAACCAGCAGGGGAAATGAACTCAACTCAAAAGAGAGATTATAAGTCAGAATAACAATTTAATAAAATAATACAATAAGTACGATTATACAGACAAACAATTGGTTTTAACCCACAAAACCCAAATGTATAACCCAGCACCCTGGGGCATGAACAGAGTGGTCTTTGGGCCCCCTGAGTCCAAAGTAAAAGGAGAGGGGAAACCTGTTGGTGAGAGTGCTGTTGCAGTCTGGTCAAGAGTGGTGATTGCAGTCCGGTCGAGAGTGATGGTTGCAGTTTGGTTGAAAAGTGGTGGTTGCAGTCCAGTCGAGAGTGGTGGTCTCAGTCTGGTTGAGAGCGGTGATCTGCAGTCTTCCTCTGGATCCCACGAGTGGTTAAAAAAGTTCCAAGACTCCAAGATTATATATTCTCCAGTTCAGGCAGGAATGCCTAGTACTTTCCTCAGGGTGGGGAGTTCCACAAAGGGTGTGAGGAACAGGGAGGCACCCTCCTATCTCGCAGGCCTCTTAACACCTAGTTTATAGCCTGAGGAGTCAGGCTGCTCTGGGCAGAGGGTGTAAATAGTTTATTGATAACAGTTTCTGGGAAATGACATGGAAGGCTATAGAATACACAGTTTTGGGTTACACCCATCCAGTGATGAACTGGTCCCAACTGTTCTAACTAGGACAAAGACATAAGCATACATTAAACACTCATGTTGGTTTTCCGTGTGAGCAATCACCCTGTGGATGTTATGCGATCATGAATGGGAGGGGAAGGAATCCAGGAGAGGATCTTGTTGGGTGCAGTTGCTGATGCCCTGGAGTGAGAAGTGAGAGAGCATCAGTGTTGGGAACCTTGAATGCTTGGCTGCAACACAACAACTTTTGGGGTTTCTTTTAAGTCATGACCATGCTGTGAGAAAAATCTCATTTATTGAATTTAGAAAGACGGCAAAAGTTTGCAAAACAAAAGGAATAAAACGAAAAGGAAAAATTACAACACGTGTTGGGTGTCCTAGGCACGCAGGATTCCCAGGAACACACCCTTCAATTCAAAAGTCCCGCCTTTTAAACATTCTTAAGGTTCAACCCCGTTTACGTCATAGAAGAGGCGTTCCCCTCTTTCTGGTTGGCTGTGTCGTGCTGGGAGGTGGAGTGTCCAGCAGCATGGCAGCTTCCAGGACCAGCCATGTGGTATAAGGGGTTTCCTTACCAATATTCATTTACAGTTCCCTATTCCCATTCGCATGTTTCCCTGACACCGGTTCCAGGC